CTTTTATTTTCCCCTTCATTTTTTTTTTTTTTTCCCTATAGTCTCCTGTTTTCCTTTTTAAACTTTCCTTTTTTTTAAATTCTGTTTTCCTTCCCCTTCTCTGGTGAACACATATTTTTTTATTTTCCCCTTCATTTTTTTTTTTTCCCTATAGTCTTCTGTTTTCCTTTTTAAACTTTCCTTTTTTTTTAAATTCTATTTTCCTTCCCCTTCTCTGGTGAACACATATTTTATCTTCTGATCTTCCCTCTTAACTATTTACCTGCTCTTAGGGCTCCACCACATAAGCAGCTCCTCTGAGACAATCGTATGTAGTTCAGAGGACCTAGTAATCATGTGTATGAAGCACATCCCCAAGTTGTGTGTATGGGCCTGAAATATGGTTTTAAACTGGAGACACACAGGAGACAAAACTGAGCTTTCATTTTGTACTGGCTTCCCTACCTCTGGCTTTGTAGTGCTAAACCTGAAACTGAATTGGGGCCATTAGCTTACTGCAGAGAAGCCTATCAAATACATCTAAAATATCTCAGGTGACTTGTCTTAGAAGGCTGCAGTTAATACGTTGTAAATATACCTGACATGTCAGAGAGCTGAAATGAAATGAGATAAAGGAAACTGGGATGGACTCTTCACGGAGTGTGCAGCACAGAATTGGGGCCTCTCCTGGGTGACTTTTGAGCAAAAATAAAGGAGATAAGAAACTAACTGTATAATTTGTTCAATGTGTAGTACACTATCAGTTATTAAAGCAAAGCAGGTTCTTACTTGATATATCATGATGTTGTTTCTAGTGTATAGGAGGAAGTTGGTGTTCACAGCTTCTGGAGAGCTAGGCAAGCCTGCCAGTTGTCTCCCTGGGATGCCAGACCAAGGAGGGCTATCTGTAAAGCATCCAAGCCTTTTGTAGCAAACTTCCCTTCCTGAGGTACACAAAGAAAAAAGTCAGTGTTCTGGAAACACAGCAGGTTAGGCTAAGGCCACCTTACAAGAGGCTGGCAGGATAGTGTTTATGTCAGGAAAGCAGAAAATGGCTGATTCAAATTAGGATGGCACCTGTGTTCATTTTTCATTAAGGGGCTCAGTTGTGCTCCTGTGCCTAATGCATAAGGCAGGGACTTGACCTTCAAGACTGATTTCCTGCTGCAAACATAGTGTAGAGCTCAGCTTGATGAACTCAGGAGAATGCAGGATTTGTTTTGTCAAACATATTGCTAATACAGTCATCAGAAAAAGACAATAACATGATTTTTTTATGGATCCAGAGAACAAGCCAGCTTTTGCTGCCAATGCAGAGCACTCCTTGAAATTAATCCTAATGCTCCAGGGATTATCTAAATGGTTATTTCTTGTGCAACAATACATGAAGTAGTAAAACAAAACCAAAACATTAAAATAGATACCTCTGTTTGCTTCACAATGTACATTAACCATCTTCCTTATTTTTTTATTGCCATAAGGTTTTATTGGAAGCAATAAAGTGGAATTTCAGTGGAAGCCTAGAGCAAAGCAGAGCCTCGGGAAGTGTGGCCTGTGCCTGAAGGACTAGAGTTTCACAGTTTCTATTGTGGCTTTGATATAGTAATGATGCAAATATGACAAATGGGTGTTGCCATTAAATGTCATCCTTACCCACTATTATGGCACGACAGTTGCAAAATGCCAAATAAATCTTATTGTTATTAAAAAGTTACTGAAAACAATGAGAAACTATTGTTACCTAGGGTAGGTGACAGATCCATATTACCTCAGACTGTGACTTACTCTTTGTTACCCTGAATGAAACACAGGGTAGAGTGATATATACTGGAAATACATCTAAAGAGAAGATTTAATTGTGGAGCTGCAGCTAGAGACTCCACAAGTGATCCAGTCATTTTCACAGAGGTCTTTTCTCTGATGTCAGCAAACTTTTGGACTGTGTCTTTTTGTTTCTCTCTGCTCTTTCTGTGTGTCTGTCCCTGTTGAACTCTTTCCAATCAGTAAAGAGGTGGTTTGGACCAAGACTATTTTCTTGTTCTCAGCATAGCACTGTGAAGAGTAAGTGTCTAGGCTGGCATTACAGTTATTGTAGTTGCCATAAATACTGGTGTGGGTTGAGGGTGGGCAGGGGAAACTGTTCTGGAAGAATTTTAGTATCAATTAATATATAAAAATACCTTTCTAATTCCCATTCTGTTTGCTAACTGCAAAAACCTTTACAGAATTAAAAAGTAATAGGTTAAATGTGGGAAAGACAGAAAAACTCAATGCTCCTAATGAAGAAGACTAAAATCCATTTCAAAGTTCATCCCTTTTCTAAAAGAGAGTTTTGCTGGTGTAACCTGCACACAACAATTTTTACTGTTTATAGATTTTATCAACTGTGTGTCTTACCTCTGGCTGCATGAAGAAGAAAAAGTGTAGTGATCCATACTGCAAACATCTAAAGCAAATAAAAACACAGTTCAAACCTAAATAAAAATAGAATCTGGAATTCACCTAAGGGTTTCCTTGACCTGTTAAAAAAATGTTATAGTGACTGTAGGAGTACTTCAGGCATTTAATGAGTTGGATCCAAAAGAATCAACACTTCCTTAACGATAGCAAGGTTTCAAGAAAATCCCTTTGAGATTCTTTCTGTTTGCATGTGCATCCTCTAAGCATCTCTGAAAGATTGTCTACCTAACCTTGATAAACATAAACTTTTTTTTTTTCCTCTAGAGCTGCAATTTATGAGCAAGCAGATGAAACTCTTAAAGGGTTTGCAACAGGTTTTTTTACAGAGTGAAGTTGCTTCTAGCATTCAGTAGAAAAGTTACTTATAGAACAGCTGTTCAGTTATTATATTTAAAAGAACTCAGGAACAAGCTTAATTCTAAATTTCTACATCATATAGATATAGTCTTGAAAACTTGTTTGGATCATTGCTATCATCCATGTACACTTATCGGCCCTGATCTGCTTGATCACTTAATCACCAATGGAACCAGTCATTTACTTCGAGGTGAAGTAGAAAAAAAATTACTACTACTAGTAACTTATCTGCAAAGGAATGATCATTCTTAGAAAACTCTAATATCAGGCAATGATATTAGAAATTAGATATTAGAAAACTCTAATATCCAATGAGCCCTGCATCCCCTTCCTGCCCTCCCCACCCCTAATCTCCCCAGTCCCCTGGAGTCAGTAATACACTGTTAGCAAAAGGTTCATCTCTGCGAAATCCACTGCAGGTTAAAGCATGTCCTGCTTCCATCTCCTCTCCTCCAGCCACTCACCAAATACCCCATACCTTATCACGATGCACCTAATTGAAGTTCCTCAGATGTTCGTGTCTCCAGCGTATCCTATTTCACCTTGGCAAGGCTCAAAGCAAGTTCTTTGGTCCACGTCTCAGCTGATTGTGGCAAGCCTTGCAGAAGCCCTGGAAGGAAGCAGGACACCACTGTGCCTGCTCAATGAAGGCATGCAGTGGAGGGACGCTCACCCTGCTGCTGCTGCACAACCCCTGGGTTCCCTGATGCATCTGTGACTTTGTTGGATAGTGCTGAGAGAGATCTCCTTGTGTCAGGCATGCTTCATCTGAGACAACACGAACCAGGTCAGACCAGTTGCTGCACGACTCCACCTGTTTAATGCAGAGTTTCAAATAGGGCGTTATTGTCATCCATTGGTAATTATTTTTAAAGCTCAAAAGTACTGGGAAGCGCGATGTAAACACTGCAAAAACACACAGCCTTTCAGGATCAGGAGCAAGGCTCTTGCCAGTGGCTGGGCTGCTCTTCTCAGTGTGATGCTGAGTCAGGATTCAAGTGACTTGGCATCACACTGGAAGGCAGCAGCACGCGCTCTTTGGTTCCTACTCCAGAGTTTTAATAGCAAAACTTTGGAGCTGATCCCTGCCTTAAATAGTTTAGGCTTAAGCAAAATTTTCAAGCTTGTATTTGGTAGTTAAGTCTACAATTACAACATCAAGACACAAAGAAGGTGGTGTGGGATCAGCTAACATATGTATTCTCGGGGTTTAAGCTGTTACCTGACAAAAAGCAGAAAAAAGAGAAAAGGATAAAAAATTATTAAAAAATTAAATTGCTCAGTCTGTCGACTGTTATTTGTTCATCTTGTTCTCTCATCTGTAATTTTGCTAGTGGATTAATTACGTGACTTTTCTTTGAAAAGATGACAGAAATGCTTTTAAACAGGGGAGAATAGTCCCTTGGGCAGATTGTCACCACATCCGATCCTCGTGAATCTTCATAATTAAATTGTATTAATTGCAGTAATGTTAGGTTTTAGTGTTTTGGTAATGACATCTTTTCACATATTGCTATATTGTTGTCATACTATTATGTTAAAATTTCTAATCAGGCTTTCATAGAAATCTTTGTTCATGTATGTAGGCACAAATGAGAAACTCGCGGTGCAACATTTTAGTGTTAAACCTTTTAAGTGTATTGGGTGACTATTGGTACCTCCTAAGCCAAGGATGTCCAGAAAGGGGAGACTCCCTTCTGGTACAATCCTTTCCAGTGACTGATGACTCAGCTCAGACCTAGCACACAAATTGAGTTAAAGTGATTCATTTCTAGGCTTTTTGGGGTTTTGTTTGTTTGTTTGGTTGTTTTTTTCTTAGCTAACCTTGGAAGGTTAATTACTTCAGATACAGATTGTAGAGGCAAACAGATCCTCCATTTCTCTGCTCCATAAACCTAGCAGAAAATTAAGAAGGAAGGTCAGTACGTAGCTCAGGGAGTTGGGTTTTTTTCATTGCTTCAGGTCTATGTTATTCCAGTAAAGTGTTGAATTATTTGCATTAAAATTAATTTCAGTTATCTTCTGCTCACATAATTAAAGACTGTTGTTAGAGTGCAAATTGGCCAGTTAACCAGTCATCAATAGAATTCAGACAACAACAATCCTGACCAGATATTTGGAAGAAATGGTTAAAAGAAACACTAAAAAAAGTATCTACTGGATTCAGTGATAGTTACAAGTGCTGAGGGCTGTGTTATTACAGTGTATAGTATGCTCAGATCTGGTGACCACGTGCTCACCACATTCAAAAGAGTGGATATTTGGGGTTTTTTTTATATGTCTAAGCATTTATAGACAACTCAGGCTGATTCACTAGAATTTAAGGGCCCCACAGAACATTAATATTTAATCTACATTACCTCCTTCTGATTTAATTCTATTATATACAATATTGGGCCAAAACCTTACTTCATTCTATCCTCAAAATTTTTTCCTACTCCAGAATTGGAGTTCACTGCTGAAGCAGGCCACTCAAACTTTGAAATTAACCTATTTGACTTAGTAAATTATTCTCATTAATTTGAATTCATAGATTTTACCCATAGAGAGTATTTTGGTGCATATGCTCTCTGGGGAGCTCAAGAAATCAGAATCACCTGTTACATTCAGAAGCCTTTCCAGAACCTGGTATTATAGTCCCAAACCATAGCTCAATCCTCTGCTGCAACATGGACTTCAATAGCAGTCTGGTGGTGAAGATCACGGACAGGATTCAGTGACTTTGCCAAGTTAAAATTAAAATGACAAGATATTTAAGGGCTTTGATTTTACCTACTATGGCAGCATCATTATCCTAGATGCAAACATGTAATATGCAATTTTTATAAATCATCATTCTAGCTAGTATTGAGAATCAATTAGAGCTTAACTTCTCTAGGTTTTTCTCAGGACTCATTAAGTGATTATTTAGTGATTTTCACGCTGCCTTTCAGCAGTTAGTGAGGCACCACAGCTCTCCTCCAGTGTTTAAGACAAGGTTACTAGGAGAGCAAGGCATCTTCATCCTTGTAATGAATTAGTCAGAGGATTTATTCCAGCAGACAAGCATGAAATGGATTTTCTATGCCAGTTTACTAATACCAGGAAAGCTCATAGCTCAGCAGCATTATTAGATGTCAGCACTTCTGTGTTGGCTTCTAGAAAACTTCCCATTTTAATGGGGTTATCTACTTCAGTATTATTTGGGACCCATCCAGGAAGTAGCAAGCCCCAAGTTTTGAGCCTCCATCCTTTAGAAGTTCTTGAGAATTTCTCTGCCATGAACTTGTCTGAGCTGTCCCTGAACTCATGCACACATCTAACACACCCAACATCCTGTATCAAGCAGTTGCCAATTGTAGTGATGCAACTGTGAGAAGAATCTTCTCCTTTCATTTGTTTTGAGGTGTGCAACTGTCAGCTTCATTCTATGCTCCCTGTTACTAGTGTGGAAGAAAACAAACACATCATTTTGCACTTGCCTTCTCCATGGTCCTGTTCATTTTGCAGACTGCGTTCACATCCTTATCTCTTTTCCAGGCTGATTTCTGTTTTTCCCTTACATGCCAGAGGAGGTGGAAAAATGACTGCTTATTCCATTTGGTTGGGGTGGACGAACATTAGTTCTTTGCCCTCCATTACCAAAACCAGTAAAGAAAATTCCTTCTGTCCTGATGTTTTGTCAATTAACTTGTGTTTTCTTGAGGGAAGAAGTGGCCAAATGTGGAAGAAGGTTCTTTCTGCAGCTGGAACACAGCTTTTTTCAGTCTCTCCTAAAAGCTCCCTTCTATAGCAACACCCGTAAAAGAGGAACTTACATGATGAGGTACAGTGCATATAACACGTTATGATCAAAAATAGGACTAATAGGGTTAGTTAATTTAAGTTATTGTTCAGAGCTGTTTACGATGTTTGTTCTTTAATTTTAGCTGCACCCAATTGTCATGCCTTAACCTGGAGAGTAAACTCTAGGCAGGGACCTACCTGTCTACCTACGTCTGCACATTGTGAGGTGTGTAATTCAGTTTTGGGTAATGTATGAATAATTTTTATTCAAAATTGTAACAGTAAAGTAAAGGTCACCTTTTCCAGCACATCAGTGGTAAGACCCTCCCTAAGGAAGTAAGACTTTTGAATAAAAAACCTTAAATACCAGCAAGTAGTTTTCTATTCTTTCCAGTATGCTTGGTTGCTGAAATAGATATGAAGGGATTATTACTCTTTTTATCTGTTGTTCCTTCGTTATGATCCAACTTCTAATACTTTTATTGATGTCAATCCCAATGGAATCATTCACAGAATAAAATACTTAGCTGGAGAGAGAGCACTAAATATTAAGTTCCACTTGCTTTATATTCCAATACTGTTTAAATTAACAGCTGTTGTGTAACTTATTTGTACCCTACATGGAAGCCCGCATTTTTTTCTCTCACTCCTTGAGATGAGCCTGGAGATACCGTGAGATTTGATCTGTAATGCTCCTGACTATGTTTTCTCCCAGTAATTAAGATAGAGTGAAGAAGTTTTTTAAGAGCGTTGGCTCCTATCTGCTCTCCTCATAGCAATATGAGTTTTCAAAGATGTGAGTGTGTAATTAACCACCCTTTAATCATTACTATCCCCTCTATTTACTAGCCTTCTGGCTCGGTT